GTTAACTTGACTAAATGCGTTCAACTAATTATTACTTCTTTAATTGAAATGTTTAAGTATTTAAATTAAATAGGACATATTAAATCTAACATGACGCATTTGACTTAAGTACTTAAATATTTCAATTAAAAAAATGATAATTAGTTGAACGCATTTAGTCAAAAAATATCGTGTTTAGTCAGTATAGTTGCTCTTTTCATTGTGCAACTATTGTTTAATTCAATAGAGTATTATTTAATTAAATAAGATAAAGTTTGGATCAATTAAAATCGTATAGATAATACTTAGCCACAAACATTTGGCCGCCGACAAAAAATCTCGTGTTTAGTCAGTATTGTTGCTCTTTTCATTGTGCAACTATTGTTTAATTCAATAGAGTATTATTTAATTAAATAAGATAAAGTTTAATTAAAGATACCCTTGAGGGCTACACGGCTCAAAAGAAAGCTTTTGCAAACACAATAGGACGAAAGCCGATCGAAACCATCTACTCGTTAGACGAATGCCTCGAGGCTAAGTGGCTTACACCGGAGCTAACAGTTTTCATCCGCTTGTCTACAATGCGTCTTCCAACATATGCCAGAAAAGTAGCACACACACAAAGTATCACAAAGTAAAAGATTTTGTATAAATTTTACGACATAAACAGTTATAACATATATAATGCATATATAATATGTATAAATAAATATTTTTCATCTGGTATAAATATTGCTAACAATAAGCAACGATGGGTTAATGCTATTTTTTTATAAAAAGAATACATAAAATACTACTATAACACGTCTGACCAGCAGAAAGGGTCCTCGTTTGAACTCGTAAACGCCGGCGGGTCAACTGATATTTCAGGACCACGCGCAAACAACCCAACGGGACGGAGATGGCGGGCTCTCTCTCTCTCTCTCTCTCTTTCTCTCTATTTATCTATCTACCTTTCTCTATCTCTCTATCTATCTATATCTCTCGGTGCGGTCATCTGAATAAACCATGAGTGTTGCCTTAATGACGGAATCGAAAGTACAAACGGCCAGCATCCCATTTTGGTGCTTGAATCACTGGTAGCGGTGGATATATAGGATAAAGATAAATTATTCTGGATTCCTCACCATGTCACATATTAAAGATCTTATAAGCACAGTTTATACGGTGTTATGTTATAAAATGCTTAAACTTGAATCGTAATGGTATTAGCGATAGATTGATATTTCAACAATAACTCACTTAGAATCGAGCTTAGTTAAGTTTTTATATATCTCAGTTCTCCCTATTATAATATAAATAAGAATATAATATAAAAAAACAGTGAACATATAATATAAAAAATCGCGATAAGCTGTTAGATGAATTGGTTGAGTTGGTTGAATTGGTAACATTTACAATTAGATATAAGAATAAAATCATGCCTTAATAATTTCGTGCGCATGTCCGAGTCGAAAGTATACCGTATGCACTTTGACTACACCAACATTATGTGCCGATAACGTTTGCAATATCTAACTCATGTGGCTGAACGTTTGACATTGACGTGATGTTTAAGCAACGTTGATATTTTACCGATGCACATCCATTAGCACATATTTGCGTTCACGGTCGAGTCTGTAAAAAATGCGCAAACCTGTTTGTGCAAAGCGTATTTGTAAAAGCGACAAACGCATCTGTCGTTCGTTAGTATTATATTCCAGTAATGTTTTCTATTACATTGAAAGAACTTTTTTAGAAAGCCCTTTTATTCGAAATCAAACAGAACATAGTCGTTCGATGTACAAGTTTAATGGAAATTGCAATTAAACGCTGAATTTTATATAACGCTCTTCTCAGTAATTATACTTCGTTCCGTTTGTAATTTCCTTAGGTAGCTGGTATTTTATTTAACTACCTTTTAATAGTCGACGAATCGTCCGAGTTAAAGTTCCTGTGATACTCGCTAAAATTCACTCGTGTCTTGAACTTCCTTTTATAACTACGGAATAATTAAAATACTTCAATTAGATGAATTCTTATCTCCCCTCCCCACAGATTTCTTTACTCCACCTACTTTGCCTTGGAGCGTTGCTTTATATTAAAGTTGATGTAACAAATATTGTATTATTAATGGATCGATACGATATTTCTCGAATCTCATACAAAATTAAAAATATAAAACAATAATATAAGCGAGAGAAAAAAAAAAGAAATCCTTTTCTTTCTTACATATAATTTATAGTAAAGATAAATAAATTTTAAAAAAAATCTACATAATCAAAAATATATTGCAGAACATATCTAATATTATGCAATTTAATTATTTCGTCTTCGGCAATCGATGTATTTAATTTAAACTAAAATTGCAATTGTGCTTTATCCTCACAACCGCCATCATTACTTTGATATCACCGCGTAAAGTTAGCGATGCACGCGTATATTACGAACGAAACTCAAACATAATATCCTGAAAAGCACTCGTAACTCTATTTCGTCGAGCCACATACCTCCTGCACGGTTTCAAACCAGCATATCGCAATCTGCCTTTGCTGTCCCTAGTTTGTGACAGGTATTTAATATTACTTGGAAATTTTGATTTCTACAAATGTTATAGTGATAATCATGATGCGTTACATTGGTACATAAATTTGTTACTGAAACACCAAATAAAACACATGCAAATGCACACAAAATTTTTTTCATGGCTAATGCTACAAATTATTTAAAATATTATAAAAATCTAATTCGATAAACATAAACCTTTTATGTCGTAATTCAGATAACAATGTATAATTCGTATTTATTAATGCCCATGGAAATAATCAGATTGTAATTGACTCACACAAAGAGTTTCATCGACTGCAATCGACATCCCATTTTGAAGGGCTATCGCTCCGACCATGACAATTTGATCGTTAAACGATAAAAGCGAATGACAAAGGGTGACGAATGCGAAGAACAATCAAAGGAGAGAATTTTCGAGAATCGTATCATCTGCAAATTGAACGTTCAATACCTTTCAGAGAGAAAAATAATCGTCGTATCGATATTATTCATAGAGCCAAACACGTGGCAATAATCTTCAAAGATAACCCGCGTGTCAGTGTCATGATCGAAATATAAACGTCTTTTTCCACTCATTGAAAGACACTTGTCACTCCTCATGAAATACATGTTATAGAGAACAACAAGGCATCGCGAGCGGATTTTATTGACGTTTTCCTGAATTCTTCGCCGGCTTTTCCATCGGCGTTATAATGTAAAATGTTGGATTCCCGGCGCATTCGTATCGCGGTCTTTCTCGTCGTAGCTTCCGACAGCCGCTATATCCAGACAGTCTCATAATGTTCACATGATGGGAACTAAAGGAAAATGCTGCAGGTGTTTATACACAATGTGGCGCTACCTTTCTGAATAAGTTGGATTAATAAAAGGTGTGTCAATCTCCGAGAATGCATAACAAATATATGACATTGCGAGAAATATAATATTTTTCAGCTAAAGAGAACTTATTGACGTATAGTACTCCGGATTGTACGCGTTATAGCATTTTATTTCATTATTAAAAGAGAATACGTATACATCCCTTGCAGACATGTAGAGATATTTAACATAAATCGAAAATCTTATAGAAATGTGTTTATTTTATAAAATACATCATTAAAATAAGTTTTCTCAGAAAGACTTGTTAATATCGATTGTTGAATTTATGAGATAATAGGCTCATTTAAAATTATTTAAAATTATTGCATATATGTGTCATCACATTCTTTCGAATTACTTCTTTTAGAATATTATAGATAGACAAACTTTATATTTATATTATATTAACTTTAATTATTAACTTATATTATATTAACTTTATTATTATATTATAGATAGATAAACTTTATATATAAATAGACAAACTTTCTGAACAAACAACCACCAACAAACTGATAAGTGCAAATAAAAAAAATTGTAAGAGATGTAATTCATTATTACTATTCGAGTATCGTGGAGAAAATGAGTAACATATTTAGATTTAGTAGAATGTGTATTGTGTGTGTATGTGAAAATTAATATCAGTTCTCTGTCAAGGATAAACTTTTCCGAACGAATATAAAAACGATATTTGGGTTTTGTCAAAATCCCGTATCTCTCATATCCGGCCGTCACTACAACCAAACAACATTTACACAATTTTGCTGACGAAAGTTAAATTTCTTTTCACGTGGTTTGTCTACATAAATAATGTGTAAAATCACGAAACTTTTTAAATTATGAGATCGGTATATACGGTGGATGGTGTCGGAACAACTGGTGGCTAATGCGCAATTTATTAAGATACATGGCCTCTTTAATCGATACGGAAACAAGAGATGGAGAAACGAGCGACCTGAGAAAACTTATCGCCGTCTGTTACCGGAGACAGCGTGCTTTTAAATATATCTCAACGAGACGATTTATGATGCCGACAGATTTATGAGAATGTCCACACATCCGTTTCAACGATTTTATATCCAACGCGAAGATACGTCGTAAACAGCCAACGATCACGCATTAATCATTATGATTGTTAATCCAATCCCATAAAATTCACTACGTGAATAGTAATTAATAATAACAGATATAAATAAAGAAATAGGTAAATAAATACATCCATGTATTGTAATCGATATCACGATATGGATATCGTGACGCGATAGTACATATTATATTAAACTCACACTTTAGAACGCTTTTATTTTTAATGACAAATCAAACGAACGAGACATGTGGAACTGTACGTCATGTAACAAAAAGGTGCATTATTAAATTTCTAAAATCATTCGTATTATATCTGACTTTTTAAATCAAAATAAGGTCAAAATACACGTTTTACGCGATTAACAATTCAACTAACGCTCTACTTCAAAATACATTATATGCGCATTTCAAGTAGTTTGTTGCAAATAGAAATGTATTTGTACAAAGTTTTATCACGAATATACACATCGAATATATATATTACTATATACATATATATATATATCATTTCCTATGAATACTACGAGTGCATTTTACTTTTGCGACAGAATTTTACTGAGATCATTGGAAGAATGTGGACTAAAATGTGTTTATTATCAATATATGTGTTTTTGTGTGGGATAGTGCAATATAATGTGGCACACGCCAAAAAAATATTAGTTATAACAAATTTTCCATCGTACAGCCATCAAATAGTTTACCGTGGTTTATGCTTAGAATTAAACAAACAAGGTTACGAGATTGTGTCGGTCACTACAGATCCTATAAAAAACTCTTCTTTAAAAAATTATAGAGAGATTGATTTAAAATACTTTTATAAGGGTTTTTCTGAATATAAAACGCTAACACCATTTAATAGTTTCACCGAGGCAAGCTTACAGCTAAAGCTTTTAGATTTAGAAAAAAGTGTTACATGGGCTGGGGCTCACATCCTAAATCGCGAGGTCTTCAAAAATCCAGAAATGAAGAAATTATATGCAACTGGTAGCAATGAACACTTTGACGCAGTTATTGTAGCGCAAGGCCCCACAATTTCATTGAACGCTTTCGCATACAGATTCAATGCACCTCTTATAGGTAAGAAAAACTTGCGACATCATAGAATTAAACTTTACAATCCATTTTTTCAACATTAAGCATAATTATTATTCATTTTATTCGTACAGTCATGATATAATAAAAAGTAACGTGACACATAGGTATCTCAAGCCTGGATGTATACAATCATATGCGCTATATGCTTGGATCTTTAATTCTCCCATCGCATATTTCCAATTGGCAAGCCAATACGATACCTGAAAGCAATATGTCATTTTGGAGAAGACTCGTTAACTTTTATGAAGTGTGGAAGCAAATGTATAGCTGGGTAAACGTACATATCCCTATAGAGGATGCGCTCGCAAAGAAGTATTTAGGAGAAGATCTGCCTCATATTGATGATATAACGAAAAACATGAGTATATACTTGGTGAACAAACATCCAGCGCTTTCTTATATCAGATTTGAACAACCAAACGTCATACTTTTCCATGGTTTTCATATTGCAAAAGTACCACCTGCTCTGCCAAAAGTATATCATACAAAAATATATGTATATGTATATAATTTTTTAATACTCTTAAATAAGATTTATTTGCGCTGCAATATATACATTTGTAAATCTGTTACTATCAGTCTCGTTACATTCACTAGGATTTAAAACAGTTTCTCGACAACGCGACCGAAGGATTTATTTACGTCAGTTTTGGAACCAACGTTCAGTGGGAATATTTACCGAATAATACATTTAAATCCTTCATCGAAGTGTTTTCTGCGCTATCGTACAAAGTTGTTTGGAAATATGACCCTGATCTATTACCTGGCAAATTTGAAAACATACTAGCATCGAAATGGTTTCCCCAGCAAAGTATTCTTGGTAATGTCGCTTGGTAATGTGCCTTAGAAATATTAATCTCCGTAACTCGTGTTGATTTTCTCGTTTGTAGCTCACCGAAATATCAAGCTATTTATTTATCAAGGCGGCATGCAAAGTACCGAGGAAGCTGTTTATTATGGGATTCCTGTCATAGGATTTCCCGTTCTATGGGACCAGATGTATAACGTGCAATATTTTAAAAAATTGGGCATTGGAGTTCATCTTCATAGTAACAATATTTCGAAAGAAAGCATCGAGGCTGCTATATCTGAAGTTATAAGCAATAAGAAGTATCACTGCATAAATTATATATTTTTACATATACAATCTCCTTTTTATTAAAGCTTGATTAATTTATACAATAAGGAGAAGAGCTTTAAATTACTGTGCATTAATGTAATAATATCATATTCTCTTTACCTTAAGATACAAAGATCAGATGAAACATATAAGTCAACTTTATAACGACGGACCGTATGACAGTCTTCAAAATACGATAAGGTGGATCGAGTACGTGATACGGCAGAATGGAACGCCTTTCTTACGAAATAATCTTTGCTACGATACATGGTATCAACGATACGATTGGGATATCATCGGATTCATCGCTATAATAATATTTATAGCATCTCTTTTTGTTCTATGGGTGTTATATCAGATTTTACGATTTCATTTACGAATGTTATCGAATTCTCTGCGATAGTTGTTAGTGTAGAAAATATTTTAACATTACTTTAACCACATATCCGAATCTGCGAAAAATATTCCTTCATAGTTGACACAAATAACGTTGATATATAGAATCCCGCATAACAATTAGCATTATTTTTTTCTATTATTTATATTATTTATAAACTATAAAATTGAAATTTAATGAATGTATGATTTTCGTTAATATATCGTATCCCGTATTATTCATCAAACTTTTCAATCAATTACAATATTGTGATAACTGGTTATTGGAGAAAAAAATGCTAAAAGACTTTTCTATTCGGTTTGATCCCAAAAATAGACTATTGTCTCAATCTTTGTTAACAACCTTGTATAGTTTATAAACTTATTAGAATATAAAATAAATATAAATGCATATATTTCTCACATTGAAAGCACGTGGAAGCAATTTTATATTCGTTGATTGATTGACGAAATTTTTATTGATATCCCCCATTATAAACACAACAAAAACATTATTAATTATTAAAGCGGGGATGAATTTATAAGGTTTAACAATGAACTATATTACTTAAATGATTCAAGATGCGAGAGATTTTTCTGACAAGGCAAATAGCAAATATTAAAAGGAAAAAAGTTTGATATCGCTTCAACGCGTTTCAATGTCATAAAAAAGTTTATGGTGTAAAATTCTATGGATTTATTCGCTTTATATATTTATTATGTTTTAAATATTATATTATGTTATGTTATATTATGTTATAAATATTATATTATTATCATGTTATT